GAACATCTATGGAGCTCACAGAATGCACCCGTCTGGGGACGCACATCTATGCAGGGGCCATAGGGATGAGGCCAGTTTCATCATGCATGGAGCTCACAGAATGCACCCATCCGGGGACACACATCTATGCAGGAGCTGTAGGGATGAGGCCAGTTTGAACATGTATGGAGCTCACAGAATGCACCCATCCGGGGACACACATCTATGCAGGAACTGTAGGGATGAGGCCAGTTTGAACATGTATGGAACTCACAGAATGCACCCATCCGGGGACACACATCTATGCAGGAGCTGTAGGGATGAGGCCAGTTTGAACATGCATGGAGCTCATGGAGTGTGCCTGTCTGGGGATGCACGTCTATGCGGGGGTTGTAGGGATGAGGCCAGGTTCAATATGCATGGAGATTGATTACCAGAAACTTCAAAGTCATTTTAAACGCTCACCTTATTTAATTTATCTTTAGAATTTATAAATGGTTCTTTTCAGTTATCTAAACTATAATTACCTCTATTTTGATATAATTTTCTGAGATTCTATATAGGACATCCTTTCTATAATTGCTTTTGTATACACTGTATGATTCTTGGCTAAAATATATTGCCAACATGGAAAAAAATGCATTTGACCACTTTTTGTATGTATCCATGGGTCTGTTTATTCACCTGCCAGTCAAACCTTCTCCTCCTGGTTCATTGGGAGGGGAAGCAGAAGCCATCGAGCGGCCCAGTCTGGGACTGCAAGCGGCCTTAGTCAGTCCCTGAGGGTTAGTTTTTTTTTTTCTTCTTGATGTCTCAAATTCCTGCAGTAAATTGCCTAGTCCAGGTATCACCCTCCATTGTCTGGACCACTCACCTGCCTCCAGTCAGCCTTTTGCTTTATTTTTCCGTCCTTCCGTCTCCCAGCCACGCTGCTTACTGTCCAGGGGACATTTTAAAATGCAGACCTTGCTCCATTTATCTTTAGGGTAAAGTCTAAACCTCCTTTTCCAGTTGTCTCCTCTCTGGCCCCTCCTCTCGCTATTTCCCTGCAGTTAGTTTCTGCTCCTGCCTCCCTCAACCCCTAGAACTGCCGTGCCTCTTGCTTCTGGCCTCATCCTTCTGCTGAGCGGTCTCAGCTGCCACCTGGTTAACGCCTCCTGTTCTTGTGGGATTCCTGTGATGGTCAATTTGATCTTCAACTTTAAATCTTGACTTTAAGACTTGTGGTTTGCTTGTCTTTTTCTGCACTAGAACTATAAGCTCCTTGAAGATTGAAGTTAGGCTTTTCCTCATGGTATCCAGAATCTGATAATATAAATCAGGTGCTCAGTAAATAACTGCTGTATGAGTAGAAGAACAGCTTTACTGTGCAAAAGCCCTGAACGTTGTGTGCAGGTGGTGACACAGGGAGAGACGCAGAATGTCTGTGCAGATAGTAGTGCCTGGGGCACATGCAGACTCTGGCATGGCGGGGAATTAAGTCTGATCAGAAGGGACACTCAGCTCTGAGGAGGGCTGTCCGACCTCGGCTGTCCAGCAATGACCAGGGCGTCTTGAAGTTAATCTTGGAGCTCCTTTTAAAGGACATTTTGGGCTTGGCTTTGTGGCTACTATAGAAATGTATTCTTAAATTTTAAGTAATTTAATCTCTTTCAATACTCCCATGTTTGAAAATCATCTTAAAGCAAAATGGCACTTAGTAGTATATTTAGTAACTTAAGGGGCCATGGATTTGTGAATAATTTAGTTAGGTACTATTAAGTTGATTGAACATATTTTTATTTTTTCCATTACTCCAAAGTTTATTTATTTCTTTAGAGATTTATTTGATACAAATTACATTTCCCTGTGTTTTTATTAACCTTAGTAAAATTATAAATGGGTTTCCACAGAATATGAACAAGGGGAAGTTTGCAACCGCTGATATTTGGTGGTTGCTGTAGACATTTGGCTGGAAAAGTATTTGTAGATAAATGTGCAATCAGCTATAAGTTTAGCCATATTATTAAAAGGCTGAGAGTCTGTAATAATTCCTCAGCAGTGTGAAATCTAAATGATGTTTATACAGTTCAATCACAGCTGTCTATACTAGAAAAAAGAATATGCATGTGGATTGTTGAAATTTTTTTTTTTTTTTAGAGACAGGGTCTCTCTTTATTGCTCTTGGTGGAGTGCTATGGCATCACAGCTCACAGCAACCTCCAGCTCTTGGGCTTAAGTGATTTTCTTGCCTCAGCCTCCTGCGTAGCTGGGACTACAGGCGCCTGCCACAACGCCCAGCTATTTTTTTGTTGCAGTTTCGCTGGGGCTGGGTTTGAACCCACCACCCTCAGTATATGGGGCTGGCGCCCTACTCACTGAGCCACAGGTGCCGCCCGGATTGTTGAAATTTAACATCCAGCTATATGATAAAGATATATTTATAAGTTTAACTTCTGAATTATGTTTTAAGTACTTTTGATTAGGAGACTGTTCACAGTAACAAGACTCTTTGTAATTCTTTCAATCTGCTCTCAATCTCCTAAATACTACTGAGAAAGTATTTGTACTGCATAGAGAAGATGACTTAGGGCATAACATTTGACCCTTTCAAAACTACCTTCTAAAGTGTATGTTAACTAGAAGAAAACAAAACTGGGGTAAAGCACTGGAGTTTTGCTTGTGATGGCATAATAAGTGACTACACCAGCACAGAAACAGGGTTCTTCTTAGCCACTTTCTTTGCTGTCAATGGCTAGACTAAGCTTTTTTTTTTTAAGACAGAGTCTCAAGCTGTCACCCTGGGTAGAGTGCTGTGGCATCACAGTTCATAGCAATGTCAAACTCTTGGGCTTAAGCAATTCTCTTGCCTCAGCCTTGCAGTAGCTGGGAGTACAGGCGCCTGCCACAATGCCTGGCTATTTGGTTTTTTTTTTTTTGTAGTTGTCATTGTTATTTAGCAGGCCCAGGTTGGGTTCAAACCCGCTGGCCCCGGTGTATGTGGCCAGCGCCCTAACCAGTGAGCTATGGACGCCAAGCTATGGGTGCTAAGCTTTTGGACTAAGTAGTGCCATTATTTCTTTCTTAATTTTCTTTTAGTTTTTTGAAAAATACAAAAGAATCTCTGTAGCTGGCCACGTCCCTACACTGACCTGATTTTCCTAGATTGGACCTGCACCACATGTGCGTGTCAGCGCAGTGGGCTCCCTTCTTCATGCTGGCCACCTCTATATGTTGACTGGTCCATTGGTGGACACCTTACAGAAGCTCTACTGCATGTTTGTTTTTTATATCTGAGAATAAATCAACAAACTGCCTGGGCCTGGAGTAATGCTGAAACATCTTGAGTCATAGTGGCCAGATAGCCTGTAACACCATTTATTGAGGAAAATTCACAAACGGTTACCACAGATGTAATAGATGTTTGTAACTTGCAATAGGTGTTTGTACTTTTTGCAGTATAAGCAGGGACCATATTATAAACTAACTTAATTTTTGAATTATAAGTTGTGTTTTGTTTAGACACTATTTATCTTTTTAATCAAGACAGTATTGTTTTCATGTATTTGTGGATTAAATATATGTACGTGTTTTAAATCCACTTTAGGAAAGTCAGTGCCAGGATTCCCTGTGGTTTTAAAGTGGAACTTAAACCATTACAGACTTTATTTTTAAAATCTTGTGAACTTTAGCTTTCTTCATTGAAACACACTCAGAATCTAAACTGATCCTACTTGAGAAGCACATTGTTTACATTTAAAAAATCTTAATAAATTTTCATTTTTCTAAGATTTCTTTTAAAGTTACATTTATCAAATACCCTAGATGATTCATAGAACAGTGTTAAATTATGTGTTTTTGACCTTGAGCATTCTGATTTTGTTCTGAAGTTGCTTTTAAATGCCTGTTCATCAGAATAAATATTGCTTACTCTTACTTTAAATTTATTTTGTTGTGCAAACATAATTTCTGTTTGTCTGAATAAATATTTATATCAGACTATTTTTAGAGCTCTAGTATATGTTTTTGAATTCATTATCTTTCTTTCTTTAATGCAAGATATGCAGAACCATTTATAATTTATTGAGGACTTGAGACAAGAGCCCACCTGCTGGTGCTCTGGCTACACAGTCTGGTGCTGTCTCAGCCTTAACTGCAGTTCTCTTCAGCAGGAAGGAGTGTTCTATCATACTGTTTAGTGAAGGTTATAGGAATGACTGGTGGCTGCAGAGGGATCATTCTGAAATTAAGCATACTTTAAACAGCCTTGGTTCCTGGGCTTATGGCTTATCTTGCAAAAGCAACAGAAAAGCCCCTTACAGAATAGTGCTGCCCACTGGTCTCTGCTGAACACAGAGCCTGATGCCAGAGAGCTGGCCAGTTGTCATTTCAGATGACTGACATGTGGTTCCAAGGAACTAGACAAGCTTAGTAAGAGGAAAATACACTGATTTCTTTCTAGCAATTTCTACTTAACAATCAACAGAAAGGAAACAGTAAATATGTGTAAATGTCTGCATCTTTTTTGGAAAATTTGTATCTTCCAAGATGTTTTTTAGCTTTCTGGTTTTCTTTTTTATTAAAAAATATTTCCATCATGTTTGACACTTTGATTACACCTTTGTTGAATATTTATCAGTTATATTGTAAGATTTTTAAGCTTGTTGTGATATTCACTGTTAACCCCAGTTGCAATTCACATTGAATACATTTTTGATAAATTTCGTGTGGTCCCAGAATCACATCATTTTGGTATCCGTGGTCCTTAATTCAGATGTGGGTGTGGTTTAAATGGGCTACTGGCTCCTTCAGAATGAATGAGACAGGGTTTCCATGAGCAAGTTTGTGAAGGTCAGATTATTTTATCATCTTGTTTTAAGGTTAGCCTTGCTCTGCCATTAAGTATACTGAAATTCTGGTAAGAAAGACATAAAAAGAAATTAACCTAAAAAGGAAAAGTCTTTTATAAAATATAAATATAGACTCTGATATCAAAAACTCTAGAGTTCATTAGAGATATCTTATATCTTTCTCTCTTTCAGCTTGTGGACAAACCCTACAAGAATCCAACGGCAATCTTTCCTCCCCAGGATTTCCCAATGGCTACCCTTCCTACACTCACTGCATCTGGAGAGTGTCTGTGACCCCAGGGGAGAAGGTAGTTTATAATATCAACAGTTCTGTCTCAGTGTCATATAAGTAGGGAGGGTCCTTACCTTTTGACTGTCGTTTGCTTTATCATTTATTCCTGTTTGATTCTTCAATTCAGAGACTAAAGAGCTTGGAAATTAATGGTGGAAATTGTTCAAACTCAAGGGATTTGTTGAAAAATATAATTTTTAAAAATCGTTAAATGCTATAGAAGGGTTGAAATAATACAAATTATATTCTCAGATACAACGAAATTAAGTTAAAGATGAGTATCAGAAAGATAACTAGAAAACTAAATTCCCACATATTTTAAGAGTGAAAAATATACACCTGAAAGTCTGATTCAAATAAGGAATTATACAGAAAATCAGAAACTAATTTTTAAAATAATGTAAGAAAAATGCTGAACACTAAGCTTGTAAAAGGTGGTAAAGCAGTAGGTGGAAGGAAATTCACAGACCTAAATGCTTAAATTGGAAAACAAGAAAAGTCTGAAGCTAATGAGCTAGAGTAGACACACATATAAAAAATTAGAGAAAGAGAAGTAAAATAAAAGGAAAGCTATGTAAAGAGGAAGATAACAGAAGATAAAATTATTGACATAAAAGTAACATATGGTAGTGTGTACAGCCAGAGTTAATAATTTTAATTGACTTACAGAAAGGAAATCGATGAAAAGAGATCAGGAAGATAAATAATAAATGATAAGACTCAACCATCTAATATTTGGGAAGAATTAATATAATCACAGATGCTTTAGACACTACAATGAGAATACAAGGAGATTTTGAACAGTAAGCCAATAACTTAAAAACCGTGGATGAGGCTGAGTGCAGAGGTTCATGCCTGTAAATCCTGGCACTTTGGAAGGCTGAGGTGGGAGGATTGGTTGAGCTCAGGAGTTTGAGACCAGCCTGAGCAAAAATGAGACCCCATGTATCTACAACAAACAGAAAAATTAGCCAGGGGATTGTGGTAAGTGCTTATAGTCCCAGTTACTCAAGAGGCTGAGTCAGGATGATCTCTTGAGCGCAGGACTTTGGGGTTGCCGTGAGCTATGATGACACCATGGCACTGTAGTCCAAGAGACAAAGCCCTCATCTCAAAAACAAAACAAAAATCTGTAAATGAAATGGTCAAATTCCAGCAAGATTTCATTACTTTTAAGTTCTTACTCACGAAGGAATGAAAAACTTGAATACTCTTATGACCATAAAGGAATGAGTTACTACTGACTTGAATTATTAGGTTTTTAACCAAGAAAATCCAGTTTCAAATGTCTTCATCAGTGAGATCTACATGACAGCCAGGTAAGAGAGAAGCATAATATTTCACGTGGTATAAACTCTTTCAGAGGGTGAACAAGGTACACTCCTCTATTTATATAGCTAGAAAACCTGAAACTAATTCAGATAACAACAGCGTAAGAAAAGAAACTTATATCTGAGACTTACACATGAATAATGCTTCAAAATTACCAAACCGAATGCAGATATATGTGTGTACAGAATTTATGTATGTACAGAATATATATATTCCATATATGAACTATAGTATATGTGTGTACAACTATTAGATAATCATCTCAATTAAATCAAGAAAAAATTCTATTGATGATTTAACAACAATAAACCCTGAGAACGCTGGGGAATAAAGGGATAATTTTTCAATCTTACAAAGGGAATCAGCAAAATTCTATTTGAGAACATTCTGAGGGTATTTCTTTTGAGATAAGTAAAAAAATCAAGAGTGTCCACTGCCACTGTTTCCTTTTCAACATTTTGTTAGAAGTTGTAGCCAGAAGGTTAAGGTAAGAAAATGGGATTAAATGTGTAAGGATTGAAAAGAATGATGCAAAATTCCTTTTATGTATTCACATTGTTTGGCTATAGAATTAAAATTTGTTACCCGGCGGCGGGTGTAGCTCAAAGGAGTAAGGCACCGGCCCCATATGCCAGAGGTGGCGGGTTCAAACCCAGCCCTGGCCAAAAAACTGCAAAAAAAAA